GGGAGGAATCGCGCCCCATCATTGGTATCAGTGGGAGGAATAGTGCCCCATCATTGGTGTCAGTGGGAGGAATAGCGCCCCATCATTGGTGTCAGTGGGAGGAATCGTGCCCCATCATTGGTGTCAGTGGCAGGAATAGTGCCCCATCATTGGTATCAGTGGGACTAATAGTGGCCCATCATTGGTATCAGTGGGACTAATAGTGCCCATCATTGGTATCAGTGGTGGGAATAGTGCCCCATCATTGGTGTCAGTGGGAGGAATCGTGCCCCTTCATTGGTGTCAGTGGTGGAAATAGTGCCCCGTCATTGGTGTCAGTGGGAGGAATAGTGCCCCTCATTGGTCTCAGTGGGAGGAATAGTGTCCCAACATTGGTGTCAGTGGGGGAAGGAATAGTGCCCCGTCATCGTGTCCAGTGGGGGGGGAATAGTGCCCCATCGTTGGTGCCAGTGGGGAGGGAGGAATAGTGCCCCAACGTTGGTGCCAGTGGGGGGGGGGGGGGAATAGTGCCCCATCGTTGGTGCCAGTGGGGGGGGGGGGAATAGTGCCCCATCGTTGGTGCCAGTGGGGGGGGGGGAGGAATAGTGCCCCATCGTTGGTGCCAGTGGGGGGGGGGGGAATAGTGCCCCATCGTTGGTGCCAGTGGGGGGGGGGGGGGGAGGAATAGTGCCCCATCGTTGGTGCCAGTGGGGGGGGGGGAATAGTGCCCCATCGTTGGTGCCAGTGGGGGGGGGAGGAATAGTGCCCCATCATTAGTATCAGTGACACCAATGATGGGGCACTATTCCTCCCACTGACACCAATGACACTTGCTGACCCCTGTTCCAGTATGGTGCTGCTGCAGCCAGCATATGTGGTTGCAGCAGCACTTCTGCAGGGCACACTTACCGGCCGCTCCCTCACTCGATTTTTGCGGCTCCGCCTCCTTGTCGGTGATTGGCCGCCTGTGTGCCTTTCCTGAGCTACAGTTCTGGCGGCCAATCACCGGTGAGGAGGCGGAGCCGAGCGGCCGCGCGAACATCGAGCAGCCGAACTGAATGAAGGAGCAGCCGCGCTTCCTGGACTGGATCGTCATGGGACTGGGACCGGAGCCAGGTAAAAAACAGCAGCCCCCCCTGCCCACCCCTGTACTTAGTGTCCCTTCCGTTTGAAGGGGCGGGGGGGGGCGGCGGCGGCACCGTGCCGCCCCCTAAAAAATGCCGCCCTGACACCAAGTGTCAGCATGCCGTATACCGGCGTATAAGACGACCCCCAACTTTTGAGAAGATTTTTAAGGGCTAAAAAGTCGTCTTATACGCCAGAAAATGCGGTACTGTCCCTATAGTGTATTGTGCAGAAATTTTTCCTGGACAATACAAGCTGCCTATCAGTGTTGCAAACCTTCCGCAGTATTTTTTTACTGTCAAAACATGGAAAATTTACTGACGGAGCAGATGTTTGACTAATAACCTGAAAAGTGACATTAAAAACTAGGACAATCAATATTTAAACAGTATAAAACACAATATGGAGACACTGACAATACCCATAACAAGTAATTTTACTAGTTTACACTTACAAAAGTCAACAGAGCATGAAGACATTTACAGACAGTTGCAAAAAGCCAAGATTTTTACAAAATGTCCGTAAGTTTACTGACGGTTGACAACCCTGCTGCCTATATACAGTCGTGACCAAAAATTTGGAGAATGACATATATATTAATTTTCAAAGTCTACTGCCTCAGTTTTTATGATGGCAATTTGCCTATACTCCAGAATGTTATGAAGAGTGATCAGATGATCACTGAATTTCAGCCCTGCCACAAAAGGACCAGCTACCATCATGTTAGTAATTCTCTTGTTAACACAGGTGTCAGTGTTGAGGAGGACAAGGCTGGAGATCACTCTGTCATGTTGATTGAGTTACAATAACAGAATGGAAACTTTAAAAAGGAGGGTGGTGCTTGAAATCATTGTTCTTCCTCTGTTAACCATGGTCACCTGCAAAGAAACAAGTGTCGTCATCATTGCTTTGCACAAAAGGGATTCACAGGCGAGGATATTGCTGCTACTAAGATTGCACCAAAATCAGCCATTTATCGAATCATCAAGAACTTCAAAGACAGAGGTTCAATTGTTGTAAAGAAGGCTTCAGGGGGCCCAAGAAAGCCAGCCAGCGCCAGGACCGTCTCCTAAAGCGGATTCAGCTGAGGGATTGGAGCACCACCAGTGAAGAGCTTGCTCAGGAATGGCAGCAGGCAGGTGTGAGTGCATCTTCACGCACAGTGAGGCAAAGACTTTCGAAGGATGGCCTGGTTTCAAGAATGACAGCAAAGAAGCCTCTTCTCTCCATTAAAAACATCAGGGACAGACTGATATTCTGCAAAAAGGTACAGGGATTGGACTGCTGATGACTGGGGTAAAGATGTTTTCTCTGATGAATCCCCTTTCCGATTTTTTAGGGCATCCGGAAAAAACCTTGTCCAGAGAAAAGGTGAGCACTACCATCAGTCCTGTTTCATGCCAACAGTAAAGCATCCGGAGACCATTCATGTGTGGGGTTGCTTCTTAGCTATGGGAGTAGGTCATGAATAATGAATGGTACAAAAACATCCTGCGAGACCAACTTCCCCCAATCATCCAAGAAAAGTTTGGTGACGAACAATGCCTTTTCCATCACAATGGAGCACTTTGCCAGAAGGCAAAAGTGATAACTAAGTGCCTTGGGGAACAAAATATCGAAATTCTGGGTCCATGGCCAGGAAACACACCAGACCTTAATCCCACTGAGAACTTGTGGTCAATCCTCATGAAGCGGGTGACCAAAAAAACCCCACAAATCCTGACAAACTCCAAGCATTGATTATGCAGGAATGGGCTGCCATCAGTCAGGATGTAGCCCAGAAGTTGATTGACAGCACGCCAGGGCAAATTGCAAAGGTCTTGAAAAAGAAGGGTCAACACTGCAAATATTGACTCTTTGCATAAACTTACAAGCAGAGCTCCACCCAAAAGGGGAAGGATTGGCACCTTTGGGGAGTGGGTACCCAAAATTGACAGGAAGCAGAAGTTGTCTTTCCCCCCTCCCTCCCTGTAGTCTTCTGGGACACGTGACAGGTCCCAGAAGACTACGGGTCCATTCACAAAGCACAGTGCTACTCATGCATGCGCGTGCGTGAGCACCTGACTGTGACGCCGCGAGAGAGAGAGACCGACCGACCCAGGCAAGCACAGTGAGAACATGCAAACTCCATGCAGGTGTTTTCCTGGTTCAAATTCAAACCGAGAACCTCAGTGCTGCACAGCAGGAATGCTAACTACTAACCCACTGTGCTACCCTCCATTTTTTACCAAATACCCTTTTCCAAGTATTTTATTGGGTTTAAGTGAACAGTGGTACCCAAGGGCACCAGAACAAAACAACAGTACAAAATGACTGTCAGGAATGGACTGGCCAGCAATATTGGGACTCAGCTGCCTTATGAGCTGCAGTACCAGGGCTGGCCAGCGGGTGCTCCCAGCAATCAGAGACTCAACCTTGCAGCCAGTCAAACACCTGGAACTAATTATACTGGTGTATTTAAGGGACATTCAGACCTGAAGACTCTGCCTTGGTGTTGTGTTTCTCTTGGGCCCTGTATCCTGTTCCTGTCTGATTCTCTGCTGACCCTGCTCTGATCCCTGGCTTGTCTGACCATTCTCCTCTGCCTGACCCTCTGTACCACGCTGCCCGCTACCTGCTGAACCTGGCCTGTGACCCCGACCATTCTCCGCTTGCTCCCCCTGTACCTACCTGCCCGACTGAGATTGACCCGGCCTGCCTGACGACGCTTGCATTGTATGTACTGTTATCTGTGGGTGGTTGGTTGGTTTGTTTGCACTGTGTTATGTTTTAGTATTGCACTGCGTTTATGTTTGTATGGTTAGTGTTAATAAAATTACATTGTTTATAACAAAAGTCTGCGTTTCCCTGCGTCAGTCACACACCTCTGGTCATACCCGGGAGCCCTGACAATGGCAGAGGGAAAAAAGGAAGGCATAGGCTACTTATAGAGTTACAGAGAAATCATATCAGCGCTGTACAAATGACCACATGGGCAGTCAAACCGGGGAGTGTCATAGATCACCCTCTCAGGTGACCAAAAGGAAGAACCCGGGGGGGGGGGGGGGGGGGGTGAAGACACTACAAAATACAAAAATGACAAAATGTTAAGCTCAAGTCAGGTAAATAATAATATTGCAATATACAGGTCGTCAAATAGTAACAAACATACAAAATGTTAATACAAACTAAATTTGAGTGGTAACGCCAGCATGAACAGAATTCCCCGGATTTTTAACCGCTGACCTGCATAATGGTCTTTATGTCTATGGTGGGTGTGTAGAGGAAGAAGAAGAAAGAGGGGGAGAAAAAAAAAAAAAAAAAAAAGGGGGGGGGGGGAAGGGGGTAGTAGGGAAAGGGGAAGAAATAGGGGGGTCTTCCATCTCTCATGGAGTCAAGCCAATTTAGCTTGTTAGGCATTTATTCATCAGAACATCTAGGTAGGTGTAGGCTGAAGGAGCAGGCATTCTGCTGTGACCTGGAAGCGCAGCCAACATGCCCAGGTGCGGGTAAACTTTTTTGGTGTATCATGTGCAATGTTAATAAGCTCCTCCATTTTGGCCGTTTACTGGATGCGCTGGAACCATTCCATGGTAGGGGGAGTTTCAGTGTTCCATTTTGAGGGAATGCAGCGTCTTGTTGCCAAATACCCATCGTCATTGGATACCCTTTTTTTTTTTTTTTTTTAAAAGGTGTTTATTTAACATTTTGAATTAAGGCTTACGAAACAGTTGCCATCTACCAACAAATGATGGCCGTATGTTGGCTGGCCAGCACCCAATTAAGAGTCATTGTATACCTATACACCGAGTACAAGGTTCTCATTGAAGCTCATCAGTGCAGTTCCTATAAATTAAAATAATAATTGTGGTCATTGAAATGAAAGGATGGCACTTAGAAATGCCAATAGAACTTACTTCATATTCTCCACATTGCGCCCCCTAACGGCACATATTGGGATAGCCAGTATGGCTAATGTCAGGATCCAGCCGTTATAGAAAGCCATTTTGCAGAAGTACTTGAAGGAAATACTCCATTCGTAGAGGAGAGGGAAAGCCACCAGACAGACAACGAGAAGCCACTGAGCCACAGACAGCTCCATCGCACCTTGATAAAGAGAGAGACAAGAGTGAGCTGGTAGGAAGATGGGTGATGGAGACAAGGCATGAACAGGGTCACTATATATGTATACACTTCCATACATGACAGAGATCATCCGATGAGCAGAGTTCACTGGGATGCCTTAGAAACACACTGTTCTTTGTACACATCACACTACAAGTCCGACTCTCACCTTTGTGCACAGTTGTACCGTTGCTCCATTTCCCCTTTATGCACAGTTGAGTTTTATTTTTTCAGGCACTCTTTCACTTCCTCTAAAAGGAATCCCTATCTGGAGTACCCATTCTGACCCCCTTGCTTTTATGTGCCTCCAATTCTAAGAAGTTCTGAGATCGTTCTAACCACTGAACTCCAAACACTGCCATTGTCTACTGACTATTAGGAATTATTTCACACCAATGCCAGTTCAAAGCAAATATTTTTTTAATTTTAAAGTGTCACTAAACCCACATCATAAAAAGCTATCAAATTGTGTATTATATTCTGCACATACTCACTCAGTCACTATGAAATTAGTTTTCTGTAAAAATCCTTGTTAATCCAGTTCTCTCTCCCTCCCTTTTGTCCATGTCCCCAATGCAGCTGGGGATGTAGCAGAGCAGTATTGGCAGCTCTGTATACAGTGCCTTGAAAAAGTATTCATACCCCTTGAAATTTTCCACATTTTGTCATGTTAGAACCAAAAATGTAAATGTATTTTATTGGGGTTTTATGTGATAGACCAACACAAATTGGCAAATAATTTAACAGTGGTAAATGACCGCCCACTCTTCTCTCCTCCTCCATGCCCATTAACCAGTTAGGGGAGGGATATTACATTTTGACTGACGGAGGCTTCACCTCCTTGTTAATCTAAGACACAGGCTAGAGGAGTGTGACACAGCCTGTGACTTGAAGAAATCCAAAAATCAGGTGGTTGAGCTGTGATTTTACTGCTCACCCGTAACAGACATGCAGCCGCTTAGGGTTGTACACATGCCATAGCAAACATTACACAGCATGCCACAATCTGTGGGCATTATCCATGCGGAAAGCGGTCCATGCAAGGGGTGCAGCATTTACAGGTTTAAAGCAGGCAGTAAGGTGGCAAAATATCGACTCCTCACTGCCTGTCAAAAACCTCAGAAATATGATCCACCATGCTGCACAAGCCCTTCATTTTGCATGATCTGTTCGTTTACAAAGTAAAATTCAATGTGCCACATTTCTCCCCAGAAGGAAGACCGGGTGAACATGGAAGTCCTGAGCAGCCTTGACAGCGCACCGCTGGAGGGCTTTGTTTCAATGCAAGTCCTTCATAATGTACTAGTATGCAATGCACACTAGCACATTAAACTTTACCTTGCAGGGGGGGTTTCTAAATTTTTGGGATGCGGTTTACAAACGCTTTGTCATTTTTAAGAATCCATTAGAAAACTGTTACAAATAAATCAAATGAGTTCATAAATCAATAAAACCTCCAATGATTAAGTGTCTTCTTAAATCAATCCTGTGAACAGTGTATCCACCACTATCAAACACAGCCCCTTACCAGAAACATAGACCCCAGGTAGAGGGTCTGCAAAGGTATGAAGTTGTGTACACTCCAATGCATATCCCACTCCAAGGATGTTCAGGTGCAGGGGCGGACTGACCATTTGGGCATTACCCGAGGGTCCGGGGTCAGTAGGGGACCCGATGAGAGGCTCACTGGGCACAATTCACTGAGCGGTATCTTACTGCATCCGGGTATGTGGTAGGATACAGCGTAGCATTTTGAAAAAACAAAACATTAGAATTCACCAAAAATGCTACTAAAATACTGCATTAGTTATTTTATCAAGTCATGTGGTGTTTTAGTAATGAAAACCATGCATTGATGTTCAGCTGTCAGAGGGGTTCCCGGCTGACAGCTGAATGTAAAATATTTGCCGGCAATTAAAAAAATAATTTTAAAAAAGGCGTGGGGTCCCCCCTCCATCAATGCCAAACCCTTCGAGTCTGGTATGGATTTTGAGGGGAACCCCCACTCCAAAATTAAAAAGAAAAAAATGGCGTGGGGCTCCCCCCAAAATCCATACCAGACCCTTATCCGAGCATTCAGCCCGGTAGGTCAGGAAAGGGGGGGGGGGGTGAGCAAGCACCCCCTCCTACTGAACCATGCCGGGTCATATGCCCTCAACATGGGGGGGTGCTTTGGGGTGGAGGGTGCTCCACCACCAAAGCACCTTGTCCCCATGTTGTGGGGGACAAGTGCCTCTTCCCCACAACGCTGGCCGTCGGTTGTGGGGGTCTGAGGGCAAGGGAGCTTATCAGAATATGGAGCCCCCAGATCCCAGCCCCCCCCATGTGAATGAGTATGTGTATGAATGAGTATGAGGTACATGGTACCGCTACCCATTCACCAAGAAAAAAAAAAAAAGTGTAGAGTGAAAAAAAAAAAAAAAAAGACAGGAGACAGTCTTTGATAAGTCCTTTATTAAAAGAAGAAAAATAAAAGAATGTCCCCTGAAGTATATCCAACGTCAATCAAGATGCCTGCCGCCACCGCCACTACCCGAGAAAAGAAAAAAAAAATGTTCTGCTCCCAACGCTGGCTCCCGACTGTCTGCTTGCTCTGCTGGCTTGACAGTTCTTAAATATGTAAGGGGCGGGGGCACCCAGTGACATCAATGGGTGCCCCCGCCCCTTACATATTTAAAGAACAGAGGACATCACCCATAGTGCAATGACGTCACTAGGCTCCGCCCCCAAGTGTTACGCCAACCACGTGGCTTTGTCAGTGCTCAATTATCTCTTTTCCCTGACGAAGCCACGTGGTTGGTGGCGTAACGCGTGGGGACAGAGCCTAATGATGTCATTGACGGCTTTTTACAGAGTGGGAGTTTTGAAATTACAAATTATTATTATTATACAGTATTTATAAAGCGCCAATAGTTCGCTCAGCGCTGTACATTACAAAGGGGGACAGAACATGTGACAGAACAGTACCAATACAATGCAAAACATGAGGGGATTGAGGCCCTGCTCTTTCGAGTTTACAATCTAGGAGGGAGGGGATGGTGGCACAGGAGGAGATAGCTGTGGGGAATGGAGTGGTAGGAAGAGTGGAGGAGGTCGGTAAGTTAGCAGGGGGTGGGGTAGGCTTCCCTGAAGAGGTGGGTTTTCAGGGTGCACCTAAAGGAGAGGAGAGTAGGTGATAATCTGATGGGTTGGGGCAGGGAGTTCCAGAGGATGGGTGACACCCTGGAGAAGTCCTGGAGGCGGGCATGGGAGGAGGAGACCAGGGAACTAGAGAGAAGGAGGAATTGATCTGCTTCTATCATGTGACTCCCGAACTTTTTTATGTGAAATTAAAGCAGTATTACACTATGGGAGATGTCCTCGGTTCTTTCTATATGTGGAGCTAAGCTGAGAAGAGTCCAGTTTATACTGTCATTGAAGCGGTGCCTGTCATCAACTCTCTGCTGCCATCTGGAGCATCTTTTTGGAATTAAATAAAAAATAGAACACACCAGGATTCCCAAAGCTCAGGGTCAGAAATTAGCAAATACAGATAGTGACCCAATTATAAATAATGCTGACTCACATAGATATATGTATGTGGTGTCCTTGGGACCCTAATCATAAATGGGAAATAAAGAAAAAAGACCAGGGGGTAAAGGACCCAGAGGCCAAAAGGGGGTCCAAATGAGGACAACCTGCAGCCTGAAGGCTTTTTGGAATTACCATGCTTGGTTGACCTGTATTAATCTATGGGTCCATGGTAGGAGGTGATTGGCCATCCATATACATTTTTAGATGGAGGAACACTAAGTCAAGGTGGAGCACTGTGTTTTTTTAAATAGACTTCATTTATTTGGAGCACATCATATTGATTTCCACTATTCAAGCACTTGATATTTATATTTCATATTTTGATTGAACTATCACATTTGAAGCTGTTGTTTATGTACTATTATGTTTATATGAGTTAGCGCAACACTATTTATGTATGTTTTTATGTTTTAAGTGTGGGATCACCTTTTTAAAAATGGTATTGCGGCGGCTCTATTTTATTATTTTATTACCTTATTCACAAGAATTGATAGCGCACATTGTTTATTTTATTTATTTATTCTACATACAAGCTGCCTATATAGAAGGGTTTCACAACCAGGGTACCATGGAACCCTAGGGTTCCTCCACAGGTTGTTAGGGGTTCCTTAAGCAATGAGCAATTTCTGCCTCTCAGATAAGATCCTGCTGACACCACTCCACTGCCACCACTCTTAGCTATCTGTAATTGGGTAATTCTTCCCAGTGTCCACAAGTGTAAGGAGCAGGACTGGATCTAGCCTATCTGATCTGAGGGTGTAGTAAAAAAATGTCAGGGGGCATAATGTCAGTAGAGTGTCACTTCTGTACCACAGAGTCATAATCCGAAAGGAACGTCTAAAAAGGTAGTGCAGAGGTGGTGCTGAAGTAAACTGGGAATGCGGTCATTAGTTTAGGGTGATTAAACAGAACCTGTGGCCCCTCATATCAGGTGTCCCTAACAGAGTCCCTCCTTATATCAGGTGTTCTTCTCAGAGCTCCCCCTTTAAATCAAGGCTTCTATAAGAGACCCTCCTTACATCAGGTGTCCTCAGCAGAGTGCCCCTTACATAAAATGGCCACATCAGAGTGCCCCCTTACATCAATTGCTTCATCAGAGTGCCCCCTTACAACTGCCCCCCATCAGAGTGCCCCCTTTACATCAATTACCTCATCAGAGTGCCCCCTTACATCAATTGCTTCATCGGAGTGCCCCCTTACAACTGCCCCTCATCAGAGTGCCCCCTTTACATCAATTACCTCATCAGAGTGCCCCCTTACATCAATTGCCTCAGAGTGCTCCCTTTACATCAATTACCTAATCAGAGTGCCCCCTTTACATCAGTTGCCTCATCACAGTGCCCCCATACATCAATTTCCCCTCTTACAGTGCCCCCTTTACATCAACTGTCCCAATCAGAGTTTTCCCT